TATGTAAGCATCCCCGAACGGCGGAGCCGGCCTTGTCAGAATCCGCCAAGTTTCGCCAACTGCCACTGCCGCGAACGACGCGTTAAGACGCGTCATCATTGTCGTCGCCGTTGTCGTCATCGTCGGGCTTTGTGTGACGCGCGCGCGCGGCCAAACTTTCGTTTCAGGCCGGGGGAATCGTCGAGCTTAATCTCCCGGGGACGCGCGCGAGTACGGTCGGGAAGTAACGAAGTAGGATGCATGCGAATGAAGTTCGTCAAGTTTTACCTTGCCGCGGACGAAAACTGTTCAAGTGAGGTAGAAACTTGGGAGGAAAGAAGGTCGATCTAATCGGACCGCGAGCGCGTTGCCGTTTGCGGTGAAACGCAGGGAAGGGAGGCAGGGTAGGGGGGGGAGAGAGAGAGAGAGAGAGAGAGAGAGAGAGAGGGAGGGGGAGAGGGAAAAACTTTCGTGCGATCGATGTATATTTGAGCAGAAAAGTAGCCTCACTCGTCGTCCGTGGGTGAGAACGCGCGAGCGAAAACGGCGAGAACAATGTCGAGTGTGAGCGATACGGGCGAGAGTAACGAGCAATAAAAACGCGCCGAGTAAAAGAGTAACTCTCTTCGCTTTGTAAAGATTTGGGAATACGGGGCGGACTTTTATGGTCGGTCCGCTCTCCCCCTTCGCCGTCCGGCTGCCCCAAGCATCCCCCCGACCCGAAGGAACCGCTTCTTCGCGAGATGGCGTTCCTAAGCTCGTTGAAACAAATGTAGCCGAATGCCGGTCTATTTGCATACTCATTGTGCTGTAAGTGCTTCACCCTAACGGCGCTGGTTGGTCGGATCTCGTGTAGCGAAACGGGACATGAGACGGCGCGCGAGCCGTCTCTCGAAAGCACAGCGAAAATCGTTAGCGCCGCGCGAGAGGGTGTGTCGTTCGCGAATTATTCGCGAGGTTAATTCCGCCGTGTCTCGCGGCTTCGCAGGAGAAATTCGTTCTCGTCGCTTCGAAAATACGCCCCTCCCGCGCCGCTCCCGAGAACGACGTTTCTCAGCGTTCTCGGCGTTTCTCATCGTCTCGAACTCCCGACGCGCGCGCTCGCGAATCGAAACGCGTGTTTGAAAAGAAAAAGGAAAAGCTCAAATTGCCGTCAAGTTTCCCTTGCGTTATTACGAACGCGTGTGCTGATATACGTTGTATATCGCGAGGAACGCGACGAAATGGTGTCGGCGATTTCGCGTGGCCGCGACGTTATCAGCGTAAGAAAGCGCGTTCGCGGCGATTTCCGCCGTCTCGCGGTTGGCCTTATCGAGAAGCCGCGGAGGAATTCCCCGTTAATTCTCTTCACTTTCTTGCGACATCCGATTAGTATCAGGCCGCAGAAACCGCGGACGGAGGCGGTGCGTGCTGAAAGTATGTACATCATCTCCGGCGATCTCGCAATCGTTTGCGGTGATACGTAACATCGAGTGCAAACCACATCGAAGCAGCCGAACCGCGACACAAACGAAACGATTAAGGATGCAGTCATTGTCGGTCCAAAGTATGCGATACGATATAAACGATGGAACCTACGGCTTCCTAAATTAGCGCCTTTCGTGAGACACGATTCTTTCGACACGCCATCTTCAACGAGAGAGAGAGAGAGAGAATGAGAGGGGGGGGGGAAGGGAGAGAGGGGCGCACTCTTTTCGCCGGCGAAGAACGCGAGACGCGAGGAGCCGCGCGCCGTGAATCGCTACGCGGACTCAATGACTCCCGAAAATGGGCAGCACATTGCAATTAATAATATCGGTAATTGGTGTATGCGTGCCGCGTGCCGCTGAACTTCAAAGGTCATCGCCTGGCAGCGCGAGTTTAATTAACGCAATCAAATGAAAATATTCATGTACGCGTCGGCACCGGGGGCGCGGTGTGCGTGCGCGTCCGTGTGACGGCGTGAGCCGCCAGCTCATTATGCAAAAGTTCCGTGCGTTTCCCGCAATTTCAATATTCGTTCAATTCCCGAAAGGCTCGCAACGGTAAATCGTGGCATTGACACAGATCGCGCGCGCCTCGAAATCGGATATAACTCGACTTTTCGATCGGTCGTTTTAAACTGGCCGTCGTGTTCGACGCGCGTATATCGCGCGGACGCGAGCGAGAGCGAGCGAGAGAGCGCGCGCACGCACGCACGCACGCACGCCACCGCAATTAAAATAGTATTTCGATAGGACGTAATGAATGTAAAACGTTCCATTGCATATTTAGCCTTTCGTTCCGCCATCAGGCTGAATGAAATTATAATACGTTTATAAATGCCGACGGTATTAATCGCGCCTGCCCGTTCACACACACACACACACACACACACACACACACAGAGCCCGGCAAAGCCGAGCGCGTCTCGCGCGTCGGTTTAGCGGAAGTCAAAGTCGCGTTAAAGGCACGTCGGACAAATTTTATACAGCCGGTTACTTCTGCCGTACCGGCGCGATACGTATCGCCGAGACGCGTCTTGTCGATGCGCGTCGCGCAATTCTCGATGTGTCGCCTTTCATTACGACCTCGTGATTAATCACGAGGCAAAGAGATTTCGAAATGTTCGATGGAGGGAGCCCGCGTCTCTTGTTCCCGATGTTCGTCGTCGGGCTGGCGGGTTGGCGGGCGGATCAGTTGACAATTTCGCAAAGAAATTTCGGTATATGTTCGCGTCGAGATTCGCGTAATCACGGTCGGTCGCGAACGAGCGCTCGTTCGTTCGCTCGCTAGCGAACGTGCGGCAGCGAAAACAAAAAGAAGCTCACGATCTCGCTCGGTCCCGCGAATTTCCTCCGTCGCGTCGTTCGTCTCCCTCTTTGCAGTCCCTCCTCTTCGGCACGCTCATGCGTAATCGCGCGTGTTCGTGAGCGACACTCGATCTAATGTCAGATATTAACGCACATCCCGGAAATCGTGCAGCTTTCTGTCGCTGGCTCAGCACAGCAATTGGTGTCCTTCGTCACCCCCTGCAATTGTCTCGAGAATACGAGTGGAGGCTCGCACGGTAATTGCGAATCGACGTATCGCGTTAACGTGTCATGCCCGCGCGTCATATCTCTGCGCGATTGCGCCCGGCGCAATAAAGTTTTCAGGCTTTAAGGCGTGGGAACGAGCGCGTGCGAATGCGTGACCTTAGCCGATGCTGAAGACGAAGCACGAAGAAGGAGCACGCGCGCAATGCTCGACGCCCGGCAACTCTCGCGTTCGATTTTCGCCGTTCGGCGACGGGCGGACAGGTATTGTCGCGTTCGCGCGTGTCGTCGTGCTTTCACGTACGGACTCGCTTCGCTCGGCTGGCATAATCCGCTTTGCGCTCCTTATCATTGTGTCGTCGCGTTCCTCAGTTATGCATCGCCCCGTCGCCGTCGACGACGACAACGACGACGACGACGACGACGAGGCGGTCACAATGACGGACTGTCGCTGACGAACGAACGAACGTCGAAGTTTAAAAGTCGGTGACGGTAAGAGAAGTGCCTCTACCGTTGCAATCAATGGATGCAAAATTGTCCCGGCGAGAGTCTATAAGAAAATTATTAGCGAATTCAAACATGTCCTTTTTTACCTTCGATACGTTTACCTGGCCAGCTCGATATTTCACCGTTAAGTCATCCGACGCTTGTCAGCCTCACTCGGCGCAGATTTATGACTCCGCGATGTTACGCGCGAGAGCGAACGCGAGTCGCGTCTATGCAAGTCCGCGCGGTGACACCCGCGGAATTACAATATCGCGGCGATAAGCACCTCTCGCTCGCGACGGCGATCGGACTTTCATTAAGGAAGAGATTACGGTAAATCGCGACGCGCTCTAGCGACACAAATACAGGTAGTGTGCGTTCTCCCCGACGAGCCTCTCTCTGTCTCTTGCTCGCTCGCTCGCTCGCTCGCTCGCTCGTTCCGTCGACGAGAGTTCGCGTCGACGAGAAAAGAGAGACAGAGAGAGAGAGAGAGAGAGAGAGAGAGAGAGAGAGAGAGAGAGAGAGAGAGAGAGCACCCGTGCGGCGACGCGCGATCGCGGACGGTTTACGAGCGGAAAATAAACGCGGCATCGAATTATATCGTTATGCCGAGGCTCATGCGGCTCTTTATACCGCAGGAACGCCTTACGTGCTCGAGTATCCGCCGTAATGCAAACCGGTGCACGCGAGCTCGCTCAACGCGCGCGTACACGCACCCACGTATTGACACTTCTGCGGTGCAGCGGCGTGTGATGCGCCGACATAAACGCGCACGGTTCGCTGCTGCACCCCGGTACGTGCGTGCGTGCGTGCGTGCGTACGTACGCGCGTGCTCGCATACGTGTGAGGAACGTGTGCGTGTACGTGTGCGCGTGAAATCGACCACGTGTGTCGCCGTCGTCTATGAGGCGCGGAAGCCTGGCGGCGAGGGGTGTCGCAGGCGGGGTGCGGAGGAATCGGTCGGGTACGTGGACGCATACTAATTAAAAGCCGCATTGTCGCGGCACGTCGCGCGAAGATGTGCTAATTACATCTCGAAGGAGAGCCTCCTGCGCGCCCGAGCCTCCCTTCGCCATGGGCCGGGCGAGTGAATGAAGCGCGAATTTACTAGCGCCCGCTTTCTTTTCCCTCCGTCTGAAAGGACCTCCCGGCACCTCCCACGCGCGCGCTGCCTGCCTTGAATCGGCGTATACTTACGAAGGGTACACCTTCGACCCCACGTCGCATTATACGCGCGCCCGCAACAGAAACGGTCTCGGCAAAATTGCCCGCCTGCTTCCGCCGCCAGCGCGCGGTGCCGCGCTGCACGCTTCAATGCGTTACGCTCGCGCATTCCCGCGGACGTATTAGCCGCGAGAGAACGTGTGCTCTCCTCGCGCGCGCGCACGCGGTGTTTGTATCGTGATTTTGTGCAGCGCGCGCGCGCGCGAGAGAGAAAGAGAGAAGGAGGAGCGGAGAAAAGAAAAGCCGGGCAGCGCCGTTCGTTAGAGAAGCGTACCGTGCATGTCGGATTTCTGAAGGTCCGTTTCGTTTGTTTAGATTGACGAATGACGCCGTAGTAGAGAGCTGGTTGGTGCGCGGATACTGGGACGCAAGAGGTAAGTTCCACATTAATCCCCCCTTGAGACGTCACAGCCGATCGGCCGGATTTTGCCGCTCGTTCATTTAGTTGCACGTCAATCGATGATTACGTAGATTACGTAGCGTAGCGCGCAACAAAGTGCACTATTTGTTGCGGGTTTATCATGTCAGCATTATCTCGACAGTATCGAGCGTACGATATACCGAGGCAGGTAGAGAGAGAGAGAGAGAGAGAGAGAGAGAGAGAGAGAGACAGAGAGAAAGAGAGCTATGCGCTCTGTCTAACGTAAAAAAAGTTATCATACTTTCACTTGATTTATATCTTTTGTTAATGTGATGTTCAAGACGAGCTGCATAACGCGGTTTTAAAGCACTCGAAAATCATCAGTCGTGTGTCGTTTGATTTCGTGAATCAAGCGAGACAAACGGGAGAATTTTATTGCTGTTTGTGACAAAGGAACATTGTTGGAGCGCAAATGCGGTAAAAAAGCTCTGTGCGGGTGTGTCTCATGTCTCGCGGGACGAAATCTTGGGTCTTGCGTTAATCCTGCGAATCGAACTTGCTAGATCAATGGTGAGTCTCGAGATTTGACACTTTACAAAACATTTTCTTACTTGTAAATATTTATTTATCGCCATTTTCTTAAACTAACATTTCAGAATTGTCTAACGTTCGCTCATTGCAATCTCGCGTAATGAGTATTTGTTCTTAATTTCAATCAGCAACATATTAGTTATATAATTTACTCGGTTATGTAGAGGGTGGAAAGTATACATGTGAGATGAGCAGTTATTTAGTAATTTCATGAAGATTATACATCGATGTAAATCGAACTCGCAGCCTAAGAAATCGCACAGATCAATAATTGCGAGATTGGCATTAGCTCTTAAGCCTGGCATTCGTAACCGTGAATTATACACGATCTTTGTTTGAGAGTATAATTAATTACAGATTCATATTCGGATGTTTGGATCGATATTTCTTGTTGCACAAAATAAACACAAATGTACAGGCTGACGAGTAATTAGCGATTGGCAAGGCCATCATTATTTGTCAAATGACGAGCGGCTATGAATGTCGGCCTGAATTTCCACTCGAGTACTTTCTTATTCTGAAAATTTATCGAACGACGAATCGTTGAAATCGGATACGTCGGGTATAATGAACGATTTTATACATCTGGAAATGCAAATGATGTATGTGTCTCCGTGTCTCGGTGTACTCGGTGTTCTCTGTTTTGACTTCCGAATCCGCTCCCGGCTATTTCGTCATAGCACTGGACGCTCACTCGTCGCTCTGACGATACGCTTCGCGTACGGATGATCCGATCGGAGGTACAGAGGAGGCGCCGACGGAATTGAATATTCCGGGAGCCGACCGAAATATTTTCATCACCCGTCCGAAATCACTTGTCGTCGGCTTGAAACATAGCGACTTGATCCGTACGAAAAGCACGCGAGAGAGAAAAAATCGAAAAAAAAGACGAAGGTGAAGCACTCGCCCGCCGTCAATCGCCGATCGCCGTCGTCGCCCAGCAGTCGACGGCCGAGTGATCCAAATAATTAACACCTTCGACAATACATTGCATCCCGACTTTTGAAAACCGAATTGCAGCCTTGTGCGTTGCGTACTTATCCGCGTGTTATTCATCGCGTGTCGAGCCGGTGCGATCGAAGCGTATGCCGCGTAGCACGTGTACCGGTGCGTTAATTATCATTCCCGTCGAGCGATTAAAATATTTCCTCGACTATTGAAGTATTTAATCGGGCGCTCTCTTTCTCCCTTCCTCCCTCTCTCCCTTTTTCCCTCCCTCCCTCTCTCTCTCTCTCTCTCTCTCTCTCTCTCTCTCTCTCTCTCTCTCTCTCTCTCTCTCTCTCTCTCTCTCTCTCTCTCTCTCTCTCTTCCTCTCGTTGGCATCGCGTTAATTAACGTTTCTTCGATCGAGTCGTGTCTACGCCAGTGTCACTGTCACATACGAGTATCCGGAGTGCCACGACGCAGTAGTTGAGAGCAGGATGCTGGGTCGGGAAGCTGAGATGGAGGAAGCTGGACGCCGGGACGCGGTCATCATTTATTGTGCAAAAAATTTTAACAGACGTTTGAGCAACTTGCCGAGAATGAGAAGATACCCGAGTCGAGATTAAGCCAGCATTCATAGTTATCATGTAACAAACACTTGTAGCTTTGATTATTCGTCAAATTATATATATATATATTTATTTACTTCACACAAGATACGTCGATTATACAAGATATATTGATAACGGTCAAATAACTGTTGATGAATATCTGAGTGATGAATCTGTAATTGACTGTGCTCTCCGTAAAAAGATTGTAAGTAATTCACACCTATGGACATCGGTTTTAGAATCTAGTAAAAATCTCTCGCGCGTTGATTGACTCCTAGTTTCAGTCTTTAAATCTCATCGAAATTTTCAACGCTAATTAAAAAAAGAATAATAATTACGGATAAAAAGGAAATCTCATTTACTCCATTACTCCACTTGAAATTAAGAAAATGAGGATTAAACGTAGAATATTGAGATATAACCGAATATATATTAAATAATTCTGAAATAAGCTTCATGAAAAAATACGGCATTAGACACAATGTTACGTCGCAAGGTTCTCCATCGGTTCTTCAAATTCGGCTGCATTCGCAGGGTTAATGTAAAAGCAATATTTCTCAACTCGGCTGGTTTACTCATTCAAAATCCATTTCGGCCGCGCAACGGCCGCGCGCGTTTGTCATTTTATTATTTCATCGTCTTGAATCTATTTTCAAAGCGTGGTCCGTATTTTGCGGGATAACTTTCCGAATTCCCAGCGCTGCCGTATAGATTCTACATTCATCATTAATACCGGGCTCATTTATGACTAAAAATATTATGCGAGAGCTTTCAGTCTCCACCCGATCTGAATATACAGAGTGCGCGAAAGACGATATGAATATATAATACGCGAAATGATAACAGCGCGCGCTGAATATTAGGTAACGTCTGTCATAACTCTCCGAGCGCAGGACAGCGAGTCCAACCGTCCGTATCCGTGCAAAAATCACGAGATCGTCGCCTCCTATCTCTCTTTTTCTCTTTTGCTCCTCTCTCTCTCTCTCTCTGTCTCTCTCTCTCTCTCTCTCTCTCTCTCTCTCTCTCTCTCTCTCTCTCTCTCTCCCTCTCTCTCTCTCTCTCCCTCTCTCTCTCTCTCTCTCTCTTCGTCCCTGTCTGCCTCGGCTTTCGCCGCGATTCTCGTCTTTCCCGCGGAATTATGCAAGCGAAGAGTCGAGATCTTTCCCGCGACGCGGTCGATGCTTAGAATTTAAAATGCATTTCATATCGTTACGCTCGCCGCCATTCTCTCCTGTACACTTCCTCTCTCTTTCTCTCTCTCTCTCTCTCTCTCTTTCGCTCTCTCTCTCTCTCTCTCTCTCTCTCTCGCTCTCTACCAACCCACCCCCGACCTTCCACGTTCCTCCGCGAGCGCGGTCCTGCTCTCACTCCACTTTCCAAGACCGCGCGGCTCTCCTGTCCGCTCGTTCAACAGACGGCATATGTGTCTTTATGAACGGTATGTGGAGTAGACAAGTGCATTAAAACCTCGGGCGTTAGTTCAAGCTTCAAGAGGCAGGAGGACGACTGAGGGTAGCGGCGGGGGCGGATGGAGGAGGGCTCAGGAGGACACACAAAAGAATGCAAAGTAAGAACCGCGACCTCCACTACGTACCACCTCCACCCTCCCTCCCGCCTTTGCCGCCGCTGCCCTCCGCTTCGTATTCTCTTCTGGCCGCACCCTCCCGCCTCCATCCATCGCGCGTACCTTCGCAATCCCGCTCCGTGCGCGCTGCTCCAGCGCCGTGTAATCCTCCTCTTCCTTTACCATATCGTTTCTCCTGTGCCGAGCTTACAACGCATTATCATACAAGGCGACACTGCGCCTCGCCTTCCCTTAATTGTTTCCCGGTCTCACCATCTCGCGAGAGAGAGAAAGAGAGAGAGAGAGAGAGAGAGAGAGAAAGAGAGAGAAAGAGAGAGAGAGAGGAGAGGAGATGCCGGGACGGGGAGAAGGGCCGAGGGGGAAAGGGTGGGCCACCCCGATGGCACGTTCTTGCCGCGATCACCCGTTGAAGTGCGAGGACGACGCCGAGGAGAAGTGTTCTCTCTCTTTGCGCGCGACTCGAAAGCGCGAAGGGGGGTGAGACGATGCGACGTGAGCGCGTCGCGACAATTTACAAGTGGTCACCGGGGGTGTGGGCAGGGGCGCCGAATTCCGCTCCTCCATCCGCGCGCGAGATCCTTCGTATTCCGTAATGTTCGACATCAAAGACCAGGGACATTTCGCGCGCCGGTGACTGCGAGAAGTTGCGCGGGCACGAAACGAGGGACGAGGCCGCTCGTCCGCGGCTCTTATTCGTGTGTCTACGGCTGGAAAATATCTTTTTTTTTTCTTGTGCTTCGGTAGATTCGGTGCCGCAGACGTCACCGGTATCGGGCGACAAGCGGCGCCCTTTGTTTTCGGACACGCTCGATTTCGCGATTTGCACGCGCCTTTAACGAAGACGCCTCGTGATTGGGAAATGGCATACTGGAGCGGTCGATTGTAATTAAGAGCGACATAAGTACCGGGGACAGAAGGGGGAGAAAATTGCTTTGTGGCCTCGGCTGGATTTCGTTTGCAGCTTGCAGAATCTCCGGTAGACGCGACGAAAAAGTATTAATCGTTATTCTCTCTCTCTCTCTCTGTCTCTCTCTCTCTGTCTCTTTCTCTCTCTCTTTCTCCCTCCCCTCCTCTCTCTCTCTCTCTCTCTCTTTCTCTCTCTCGCTCGCTCGCTCACGCATTTGTTCTCTTTCTCGCTGAGGTGGGATGAAATTCATTAATCGAAGTTATTTTCAACGTTTCACACGAGCACTTGACGGTTGTTGCGAATTAGGCTAAACGCGGCGAAGAGATCGTTCCGACTTAGAGAAATCTGAGATTAGAGTCGCGCCAAGTAACGAAGGGATAACGGCCCTTTCAACT